TTATTATTATAAAGAACTATTTTTGCTGACGAAAGATATAACTTAGCGCTTTTTTTTTACATCTGTGATGTCTTTTTTTGTGGGATCATATTATAACATTATAATAATGTTTATTAATTGAAATTAAATGGTTTATATGCTTTGCAGACTTGGTCAGTGATTGAATTTATCAATATAGAAGGCCAATCAAACGCTGTAGAAGTTGTACCAACCTCATGGATGACATTTACAAATGATCAAATAATGTGTAAATGGCCGGAAAAAATGTTAGGAAATATATATTACGGAAAGAACCCCCAAAGACAATTGGCAAAAATACATAGTGCAACTAATATTTCAAAGTAGTAAGTATTGTCATAAAATATTGATAGTATATAATAAGATAATATCTTAATTAAACATGTTTTATATTAAAAAAATGACTTTTTCGTATTTAATATATCAAATCATAACTTCCCAATATTTATGAATACGGTTATGGAAAAGACTTATATAAATCATGTAATACAATGTATGTATTATAGACAATTAATAAAATAATTTGTAATTACAGATTCATATAAGGAAGCTATAGATGTTGTACATAAAAAAATTCGAACCGATACATCAGATACATCATGTTCGCATTAGGCCGAGGGAAAGAAAAAAGAAAACATTCCAACCAGTTACAGCAAACAACTTAAATGATGACGATTCAAATCCGCGAATGACACCATCTCCGTTAATGACTGTCATGGATTTGCATTTAGAAAATGAACAGTTGACAAATGGTATAACAATAAATAAATATATATATTATTTTTAAATCTTTAACATTATTTTTTTAACTTGCAAAAAGTAATGCTTAATAGTGTAATTTTTTATACATTTGATTTGATTAATGATGATAACCAAACTGGACAAGGATATCGAAAAATGGATGAAACAGCAATAAACGTGAGTCAAAATAAATAAAAGAATAATATTGCCTCTGAAGACCATGTAACTTCTGATGAAGGTATAAACAAATAATTTTTGGTACAATAAGGTATTAAACAATACAAGTCGATTTTAAGTAATCCCGCTTAATATATATATAGTGTCTATTAATTTATTATTTAATATTAAATAAATACAATAATGATACTAAAAATTTCCATTATTTAGATCCTAAAGATGCTGTTAATCCAGTAAATAATATGATACCAACCGATATCATTTTTGAAAATTTTCCAGCAGGTAATCATTCATATTTATTGTTCTTTTGTTTATAGTAATATAATTTGTAAATTTATATTTCAGATAGTCAGAATATTGTTTCAATCCTGCAAAACACGATTGCGATTAAAAAATTATTGGAACAACAAAATGCATTTTTAAGCAATTAGAGCGTACAAATAATTCGCTTCCACTGCTCTCAGCATCTGGTTCAAGCTGTAGTAGTACTTTTTCTCTTATTCCGAACAAACCTTTCAAGAAATTTACAAAATTACTTGATTTCGACATCGCATTAAAAACTAATGAGGAAGGACAAAACAAATGGTAAAAATAGTCTACATTTCTTATTTCTTGTTTTTTGAATATTTGAGACAAAATTCAAGGTTCGAGCTGGTAAAATAATGTAAATGGTTAGAAAGAAATTGCTTTCAAAAGCAATTTTGATTGTTCAAGCTTGATTAAACTAGGATTATTTTATAACATTCATTATAATTTCATTGTACCATTGTTGAATATGCCAAAACTACTGATATCTATTTTTAAAAAATATATATTTAACCTTTTTCCTTCTGACTAACTGACTTTAATTGAAATTAAAATAGACAAAAAGGATGCTCAATATTTACCAGAAAAGCTCGAACAATTGTATATATATATATATGTATTTACATTTTTTCGTAGAAAAACATTTGTCTATTTATTAGGAGGCACTTCTCCCCACGATCAAATAAAGCTGGACTAGAAAAATATTTACTAAAAATTGGGATTGGGTACAAAATGTTCTTGGATGGGTCGCAAAGGCAACTTCGAAGTGAACACACTAATAATTATGGACATTTTAAAACGTATATAGAAATGTAAAAATATATAATATAAAAAATTAATGCTTTAATAGCATAATAATTGTACCGGTACTATATTAACTTTTTTTTTGTACATTTGTAGGATCGACTAGAAAACACTTTCCATTTTTGACAAATAAACACTTTCAGAACTTGTGTCAGCTTGGTTAAGGCACTCAAAAACGCGCTACGACAGAGAACTAGTATTTTA